TCCCAGCACTGAGGAGGCTGAGGCAGGAGGATCGTTGGGAGTTCAAGACCAGCCTGGGCTACAAAGTGAGCTGAGGAGCTGAGGGCCAGCCTGAACTACATACTAAGATCCTGTCTCAAAAAAAAAAAAAAAGACAAAAAAAATTACTACTTTAGTGCAACCCATTTGGGAGCCTTCCTGTTTCTCAGGAGCTATTCCTATTCCCCATTCCTTTTCTCCAGTAAATTTTCCTACTCTTAAAAATAAAGTACCACTTTAGTCATTTCCATGTGTACATTTCAGTAGCATTAAGTGCATTCCCAGAGTTGTACCACCAGTCTCCAGTGTGTTCTTGATCCTGCACAACTGAAAGTGTACTTACCCATTGAATAGCCCCCACTCCCCACCCCAGCCCTGTTATCTCTGCTGCCTCTATGCATTTGACAACTCTAGGAACCTCATGTAAGTGGAATCATACAGTGTTTGTCCTTTCGGATGTGACTTACTTCACTTAGTTTAATGTCTTCAAGATTCACCCATGTATGAATCTCATTACTTTTTTTTTGTTTGTTTTTTGTTTTTCTCCGGTACCGGGAACCGAACTCACGACCTTGCGCTTGCCAGGCAGGTGCTTTTGCCGCTGAGCTAAATCCCCAGCCCCTGAATCTCATTACTTTTGAAGGCTAAATAATACATCATTTCATACATGTATACCTCAGATTTAATATGACATTGAAAGGCCTATTGTAATCCTTCCCTTGCCAGCCTCTCCAGCTGTCTTAGTTGAGACAGTCTTTACCTTCTGCTTTCTGTACTGTAGCCACGCTGCCTTTTTTTTTCAGTCCCTCAAGGGCAGTGTCTTTACCTGGGAAAACTGTGCCTTTCCACATGCCATTCCTTCTGGTAAGAATGATCTTCCACCACTATCCTTTCTGCTCTTCCTCATCTTAACTTAGATATTATGTAGCTTAAATACATTCACCTTTAGTTCCTGGAGTTCAGGGAAAGGTTGCTCAGATTCCTTTCCTGCACTAACTATTTTCCTACCACTCTGTATTATCTTTAAGTGCTTATCATAATTGCAACTTAGTGATGAGTTGTACGTGTGTTTCTTTAGTGACTGCCTGCCCTGTAAGACTGTAAACTCATGTGTGTTCAGTTTTATGTCCCCTGTCTCTACCTTAAAGGTGCCCAGTAAATACGTGGTGAAGAAAGCTATGAGCTAAGTGAATGAATGAATAAGTGAATGAATACCAGAAAGAAAGAATTTCGTAGCTGTATGCTGAACATTTGATTTTAAAATGTGTATGAATTGTTCAGATCTCAAAAAGTCATCTAGCTGAAGGATAGGCTTTTGTCCTATCATTTCTCTGTTGGTAAGAACTTTCATGTGTAGACTTTTCATTATTTGAAAATGCCTCAGGGTTTGCCAACACCTAAACAAAAGCAACAACAAAAGAGTTTACATTTTTCTGAGTGCTTATTCTCTCCCAGGCTTGGTGCTTGCTACTTTCCATGTATCATTTTATCTGAGTCTTGCTATTACTCTGAAACAGAGATTCTGTTTTATTTGTTTTTAGTTTGTTTCTAGATGAGAAAACCCAGCTCACAGAGTTGAAATAACATACTTAAGATCACTAAGGGTATAAGGGGCAGGCCTACAGTCGGTGTGGAGGTGCGTTTTGTGGCCTAGAACAGAGCACCACCTTCCCCAAGGACCCTTCCCCTCATCAACTGGAGCATGGTCTCTTTTTACCTGTTTTATAAATGGGGCCTCTGCCTTGGTTTTTTTTGAAGTCAGGATTCTGTTGTGTAAGAACTTTTAAACTCCAGTCTTGCAGAGCAAACTTGACCCTTTCTGGCCTCATATTCTCCCCACTATTACATTTCCTACCATGCTTCCCCACAAAATGCCCTTTCCTGTCTTCTGCAGTTAGCAAGTCAGTATGATCTCTAGGCATTTTCCAGATCTCAAAGCAGGCGGGTTGCGCTTTCTGCATGCTTACCCCATAAAAGTTCCATTTCTTTGTCCTAGCAGCGGTCATAACCTTTATAAATAGTGGTGTACAAATTTGGTTTCCATTATTTGACTGAGTCTGGAAAAGTTGGACCACGCTGGTCCCCTCTCTGGAGCAAGTTAGCTTGGTCTAGGATGAGGTACAGAGCATAAGCACCTCAGCCAGTGCTGAATAAGCTAAGTTAGAGCACCAAGTTAGAGTGGGTCCTCAGAACCAGCCCTCTGGGTTCAGAAACCTGTGACACAATCTTAGGTGTACACTCATAGAACTCCATGAATGTGGGGTGCAGGTGATCAGGTGAATTAATCACAGTTTGGAAAAATAATTAAAATATTTTCATAATCTAATATGTTTCTTTTTAAAAACAGATGTCCCCTTATTGTATCAGAAGGAAGTAATTAAATGATTTAAAAAATCCAAACGTGCTATCATTTATTCAAAGTTACTATATGCTACTGTCTTGATTGGTACTTTGTACCTGTTGGATCTGCTTCTCCTAATCACCCTGTAAGGTATCTTTTAAATCTTCATTTTAGATATAAGGAAATGGAGGCTTGGAAAGATTAAATATCTTGTCCAAGGATAGTCACCTTCTGAGTGATAGGGAATTAAACCAGTCTGACTGACTTCAAAACCAGTGTCTTGGCATCACCTGAAGCACCTGGCATAGCACGTTAGACACCTCCTGACTCAGCCCCTGAGTCAGCACACTTTGTCCTTCTTCCTCCCAGCCTTTCCTGTGTCCAGGATCCGTTGGTTTTCCCCCTCCTTTTCCCCTCCTCTCTGTAATTCACTCTCCATTTTCTTATAGTTTCTATTTGGAAACTGATTCTGTATTTGCATCCTGAAATAGAAATATTTTTGACAATGTCAGTAATAATTGTACACGATTACGTTTAGAAACTGATATTAATAACATGATAATATCACATTTGCATTAATAAATACAAATATATTTTATTAAGGCTAAATTACGTGTAATTACTTTGGTTTCTTTAATACAGCCTTTTAAGATCTTTTGAATCCCAATTTATACTTTTAAAAACGTACTTTTTTCTTCTGTTTAAAATATAAATATAACAAGGTAGTGTAAAGTAGATTAGGTAATTTTTATTAGGAATTTTTCTAAACAGCGGGATCTCTATTTCAGATTATATATGAAATAGAAGATTGAAACACTTCATTGAGGTCTTTTTTAGAGAAGTTTAAGAGGTTTTTTACAGTCTTAGATTCATTTATTTTCTGCCTCTCCTAGTGTTTCAGCAGGATTAAGTTTTTGAGTCAGTGGATCAAGTTTTAATTTTCCTGTTCCTCCTTATACTGACATATGCTTTGGCAGAACAAAAAAGAGACCTAAACATGTCAGTATGATTTTTGTTCAATGAATTAAAAACCATAAAAGTAACAAGATCTGATCCAAATCCCTAAAGTCCTGACATGGTGGTTTTGTCCTTTTTGTCCCAGGATTCGTATTACTGAGTTTGAGAAGTTTTTCTGCCTGGAAGCATAAGTACATGATTTATTTGGAGTAGATTATAAGGGTAAGCAGCATGGAGTAGTGGAAAGGATATCGGCCAGAAAGATTTGGACTTGAATCCCAGTTCTGTCACTCAAGCCCCTAGGCAAGATACTCATCTATGAGCCTTAATTTCCTCATTGGAAAAGGGAATACTAGAACCTAATTTGAAGCATTGGTATGAAAATTTATGAGATATTATACTTAAAAGTACTCACCTGGCATAGATGGCTTTAATAATGGCAGTCATCAAGATCATTTTTGTTTTGAGAATACCTCCAAGAAGCAGAATCCAGGATTTATTTATATCACAGCTGTCTACTTTGTCTTTGAGCTTTTTATCAAAATTCTAAATTTTTTTTCTCATCAGAGAAAAAAGTCATTAAGTGTTGAGAAGCTATTCATCACTATGCCACACTGTGCATGTGCCCAGAACTTACTTGGCAAGAGCCATGTTGATGCGAGAGTCAGGAAGCATGTGCCGATGATGACCATTTCGGGGCAAAGGAATTTTGTTGTACTAATACCATTGGCTTTTGAGACAGGCCAACCTGGGCTTGACTATGAAAAAGATATCCACCTTCTTTGGACCTCATTTTCCTCTTCTATAAAATGGAGTTCATGATCTTATGTGACCCTCCATAATATGGCTGCCCAGCTTCTTCTCTTTTCATTCCTTTCTTTGCTCCAGCCAGTTCCTTGAATGAATCGTGGTCTCTTTGCAACTTCATTTCTTTATATGTGCCTGTTCCTCCTCCTGGAAGTCCTCCCTTACCCCACCTGATATAGATTTAACTGTTCAGATTCTAGTGAGGTGTGTTAGGATGGGGTGGGCTGTTCTGCAGTAACAAGCAATCCCCAGGTCTCCATGGCTTGTTACAGAGATGTTTATTTCTGTTTCATGCAACATGCTAGATACTGTTCATGATAGTCATACTGGGACCTGAGCTGATGGATTAGGAAGATCACGAAGAGCTGCTACTTACTTATTTTGACTGATTTGCAGATTTAAAGATAATACTATTTCAATAGCATCATCACTCACTTACATTGCTTTCTTTAGAGCGAGAGAAGTAGAGTTACAGCTTGCATGCCAAGGTTAGTACTAAACAATTCACATGCATCATCTCATTTAGTCTTCACCCCAGCCCTTGTATATCCCCATTAGGCAAAAGGGACCTCTGAAGAGAAGAGATCCTGAATGCATCTTATAAGTGACATAAGGATTTGGTCCCACATCTGCCTGGAGTCCTGGCTCATGCTCTAAATCCCTGCTCTTACCAGGTCTCCTCATCTAACTCTCCAAGAATGGTATTTGATTCTGAGTATGTCTGTGGGCATAAATGTGTCAGGAACATGAAGATCCTCAGCTGATAGAGGCAAGTTAGAGCTTGCCAAGCTAGTAGACAGAGTAGGTTTAAGTTCTTAAATGGAGGTTAATGTATGGAATGATTCTGTTGATTTTTTTTTTTCCTGTCTTTTATTAGAGTAACCAGGGAGCACAGGGAGACGCTGGTGAAATTGGCCAAACAGAATACCAACAAGGCCAAAGACTCTTTACGGAGGGTTCGTTCTGATGCAATGAATAAGCTGAAGAAGTCAAAGGACAAGACTTCAGAGGATACCATTAGACTCATAGAGAAACAGGTATCATTACCAGTAAATGTAGCATTTATGTATCTGACCCAAAGGATCATTTGTTCATACCCGGCACATAAACAATTAAACTGAATTTAAACTAATGTTTTCATTCACATGGTCAGTATTGACCAACTCTGTATTCTGGGTCTAGCCACATGCTGTACCCTGGAGGAATCTGTAAAAGAGGATAGAATGCTGTTGACCTTATGCTGTGTGCCACACTCTGTGCTAAACATTTTGTATTACTTCCATTTATCCTCATCATTCCCGTGGTGAAAACCGTGAGGTAGGTGTTAGGGTGTAGCTCCGTGGTGGAATGCTTGCCAAGCTTACACAAGGCCCTTGGTTTGATCCTCAGCACTGCCAGAACAAAACAAACTGTGAGATAGGTAGGGAGGACGATGAGGTTCAAAGAAGTTCTGTAACTTGCTCAAGTCACACTGCTGGTAAGTGGTGGAAACAGGATCCAAACGCGGGCAGTCTGATCTCAGAGCTCACTTGCTTATGCTGTGCTATCTGGGTTTGTGTTGCTAAGAAGTGAGCATTACTATTCAGTGAGCTGAGTAGTGGAACTTGAGCAAATCTTAAAGGAGCCTGTGGAGTAAAATAGTGAGAGACAAGAGGAAACATAGAACGGAACAGAGGTACATATGGGATGTAAAGAAAGCTGTTCACTTAAGATTAATAGGGATTGAACCTAGGAGGAGACTAGGTAACGAGTAGAAAAGAGACTGACCAGAACATAAGAGGTCTTATATCACAGGTTGAGGTGCTTGAACTTTAACGTATCTTTAGGTTCCCATATTGGCTGCATGTATGTGTCTTAGTCACTTTACTTGTTTCTGGGAAAATATCTAACACCTGCAGTTTACGCGAGGAGAGATTTACTTTGGTTCATGTCTCAGTCATAGTACTTTTATTCCAACACAGGACAGCATGCAGAAGGGAGTGGCAGTGACCCACCTCTTCCAACCAGACCCTACTTTGTAATAGCACATTTAGCTATAAACTCATCAGCAGACGAATCCACCAATGAGTCTAGCACACCCATGATCCAGTCACCTTCAGGCAGCCCTGCCTATCATTGTGTGAGGCTTTGGAGGGACTTTTAGATAAAAACCTTAACACTGCATGTATATGTCATCCGTGCACACCACAGTGTTGCATAAACAACTATCCCAAAACTCAGTGATTTCTACTATCAAACCTTATTTCTTATTTTCTTTCCTGTGGGCCACTGGGGTATAACTGTTCTAGGCTAGGTTCTCAGTGAGCTTGGCTGTAGAACTTGGATTGGATTCAAGTCTGCTTTATATCTCTCAATTTTCCAAAGACAAGTTTCCTGGGGCATTTTTCTTGGCAACTAAGTCCAACCATTCAAGCTGGAATATTTTTTTATTTTTATTTATTTTTTTTATTTTGAGGTGAGGAGAGTTTTTATTGGAAATAAGAATAGCTCTTGGATTTCCAGAAAGGGTCCTAAGTAGGTAGCCATATGGCCTCTCAAGCCAGAGCTACCTATAGATAAGCAGAGCACAGAAACTGCTCATTTGTTTAGTGGCCACCTGTCACAGATGGATCTGTGGATTTAAAATGACCAGTAGGACCCAGCTATCCCACTTCTGGGTATTTTCCCAGAAGATCTAAAAACATCATATCACAGTGATATATGTGCACCTATGTTCACAGCAGCACAATTTGTAATTGCTAAAAT